GACAGCACATGTCTGGCCATGACCCGTGTGTAGTTTTAATCGTGTTTGATTCTGTATGTCATTGGAACAGTAGTATCTGGAATGGCTAACGTTGTGCGTTTGTGCGACTATGTAGTGTAATTTTGTGCTTTCGCAGGCGCATAGTACTACTTTCACTTGGTACTCGCGTGGTCAGCGATTCCCTCGAAACTGTTATCAAATCACCGTAGAGAAGAAGGGCAAGGTCCCATAGAAATTGCAAATAGAAATCAGATATTCGGGAAGTATTGTTATAGATATAATGTTTTGCCAAATATACCATAAAATGGGCAACACTCTCAATGCCAGTCTCTGCGCATACATAACCCATCCAGGCAAACTTCTAATGTTTGGTGCCGGCGATGAGGGTCAGTTGGGACGAGCACTCACGAGTGATATACAATACAGTCACATACCCACTGTAGTGGACTTAGAGACAAATGTGCTCTCCGTGGCATGCGGCGCGAAGCACACGATGGCGCTGACTACCGAGGGAGCCGTCTATGCCTTTGGAGCCAATAAGTGTGTGACCATGTCTACCGAAAAGGATAGCAAGCAAATGCATACAGTTATCGTTAGGTAGAAGGTGGAGGGTATCTAAAATTGCAATCTTGATTGTATATACTGGTAGTTGTCTACGCCCACTAAATTGTGCTGGATCTACTCTGTGTTCTTGTGGTAACTGAGCTGAGAACTTAATCTGATATACGGATGTTGGTGTTAAAGTTTTGTTCATGTTTCCCTGCAAGCGAAACTACGAGGAGTATAGTGAGTTGTTGATTCCTATTGAGCCTGTATGCTTCTCTCCGTATTTTTTTTGGGTGCTTATTTACTTATCGACGAGCATATATAGTATTAATGAGTATGCAACTCAAAAGGCGCGTGATTTTCTTCTTATTTGCCAACAATATAGTTGTGTAGCATTTGCGCAACTTTATTTCAACTAAAAGTTGTCCATTAACTCTGCCGCATCCATTTTCAACTCATCATACATGCGTGTGCCCGAGCGGAGAGTCTGCTGCGATATGCCACAATATACAATCCAAGCAAATATTTCTATGGCATTTTATATCCACCCAGCACGCTCTATCTAGCGCGAGCGTTCCATTTGAAATGTCACTACTACTGGCGTGAACGGGTGTGCGTTCTGCTAAAGCCGCTTGTGTTGCACCATTCACCCCTGCAGCATGGGCCAGCTCGGGTTGGCCGAAAGTCCACCTATGAACATAGTACATACACCAAGCCAGGTTGATATACCGGTGGACCTTAGCCGGCGACAGGCGCACACTCAAGGTATAGCTACCCCAGAGAGATGCGGTGGATGCCCATCCCTGCCCACGAAGACAGCCAATCCGCAGACAAAGTGTGGAGGGGGCGGTCACGCCTTGGTACAGGAGAAGGGGAACGTCCACACGGACGAACGCACGTTGTCTCCAGGGGAAACACACAGTGAAGTGGTGATGAGGCTGAGCCAACTCAGTCCGAGTATGGCGCGAAGGTATCACTTGTGTGGAAGGGTGTGTAGCTCTCTAGCGATGGGAATGGAATGGGTCGTGTTTCATCGTAGTTGATTCGATACCCAACATCGCATAATACATTATCGAGCATCAACGATTGTAGGCACGCACTCAGGATTGGTACTATGCCCGGAGTTATGCGCATACACAACACGATCCTGTGTGGACAGTTGCAAACCCACGGATTGGCCCGCAAACGTGCACTGGCACACCTGGGGGCTACCACCACCACCGTTTCCAGATCAAATGCTCCACTTGATATCATCTATCGCTTTAACCGTATCCTGTACCAACGCATAGATGTCGAGATATCATGCACTTACGGACACACTTGCACTCGCAAAGGTACCTTGCTGTCGCGCTACGCTTATGTGGCCAGCTTTAAGCACATATAACCACTGCCATTGGGCATAGGAGCCACGACTCATCGTCACTATAGCCTTATATGCACCAATGGCGTACGCTCTATATCTCATATACATATGTATATAGTTCGGTAGGCGACACATACTGTTTCACATCGATACGTAGAGATAGGTAGCCGTACCGATAGACGTGGGGGCGAGTCTTACAAATAGTGAATACTTGTGGTCTAATATCGGGTAGCCGTACTGGTAGAAATGGAGACGAATTGGTACAAACAATGAATAATTGTGGTCTAATATCGGGTAGCCGTACTGGTAGAAATGGAGACGAGTTGGTACCAACAGTGAATAATTGTGGTCTAATATCGGGTAGCCGTACTGGTAGAAGTACACTAGAGGGGGCAATCGTCTCTCATACTCGAAGGCCTCGACAGCACCCTAATCGATCGCACATGCCACATCCTGTGAACATCAATATATATAGAATAGGATACTGTGATCATATCAATTCATATGACTATAGATACATACATCATAAAATGTGGGACCATATTAATTCATATGACTATAGATACATCATAAATATGCGTAACCATATTGATTCATATGCCTATAGATACATACGTCATAAAACTGTGGGACCATATTAATTCATATGACTATAAATACATACATAATAAATATGTGTGTCCAAATTCGTTCATATGACTATAGATGCATACATCACAAATATGCAACCATCGTCATTTGTCACTATCCCGACAGCCCCTACCCACCACCAAGAGCCACACACCATACATACTTACACATACATGCATGTACAATTAGATGCTGTACATATTTTTAAACAAGCTTTCACACAGATCAGAGCAAGACGGCCGTCACCTAGCAACACAATAATCCCTACCATACTGCTGCCGATCGCACACGTCATACACCTTCATATACACATAACAAATGTTGGAAACTACACTTCTCCAATCTAACATCCACACGCACACGCACAGATACACATCAGAGGAACACACCCGCCACCAATCATCACCACAGCCCCTATCCCACTGCCCTCGATTGCACACGCCAGGCAATTCCACCTCTCCATATGCACAATTGTAAGACGATAACTATGCTATAATTAACGTCAACGTCCACGCTCCCATATACACCAGGGGGAAGCAACCACCACCTATCATCACCACGGCCCCTACCCCACCGCCACCGGTCGCACATGCGACGTCTATCTCCTGTGGGCTGCATCACAGTGTAGTGGTGACCAGACACGGAGGTGTGTACGCGTGTGGGAATAGACAGGCACTCGCAGTGCATGCAGATACTGCCATAATAGATGCGAAGAAGAGGGCAGGCGCGTGTACACGCGCCCGTGCACACGCTCAGGCATGCGCGCAGGGGGCTGACACATGCTGTGGCGACTGGAAAGCATACGAGAATGAGCTGAAGACGTGCTGCGATACACCCGTCGCAAGCCATACAACGGGGAACAAGGGTGACGTCGCGTCTAGCGAATGCGGGAACGCTCGCAAGACATGTGGAGACGCACGCGACGTACGCGGAGACGCGGAGAAGTCAAGCACCAGGCAGTGCAGCAATCAACCAGCGCATTTCACGGCATCGTGCAATGAGACGGCCCTGACGTTATTGTGCTCACTGGGCAACCTTTCGAAGAGGAGTGGTAAGGATGGGCCAGAGGGAGCAGTGAGAGTGGCGGCAGGGGGAAACCACGTGTGTGTCTATCTTGTAGCGTAGGGTGACAACCCAATACTGCTTCCACCCTACAAATAAGCCTGCGTTACCGAGGTAATATAGTATGCTAGCTACCTGTAAGTGCATAAGTCTGCCCGAATAGTGTACTACAGGTGTGCTTGAAAGTTGGGGTGGGCGACCTTCTGCCCTCGGAATAGCACATAATAGTCCTTAAGCAAGCTAGTTCTAGATTAAGTGTATCTGGCTGATGTTTCCTGCGTAGTGATCATGCTGTGGTACAAAACACTCAATACATAGCTGTGCGGAACTCAATTTAAACGCGTCAGATCTAGGCAACCCTGGTGGAATGTGGGCCATCGATCACAAAGCACCAGACTTGATCAACCCGGTGTCAGCAGCGTATGCATACCAAGTATACGACGATACAACCATACACAGAAGCTTAATTATCACCTGCAAGAAGGATCCCACAACTAACTACATATGAGTAATCGTCTCTAATACATACATAGTGTGAGACCTTAACGTAGTTAAGTCCTTTAACATATTTGTAAGCGGAGTTGTAGTTCGTCCCCATTGCTTGTGCAGTAGAGCGGCACTGTACTACTGCCGATCTGTTCAGGCTTACCATTTCAATGCACGAGTAGATACGGTGAGATTTAACTATAAGAAGGGATGATGATCCCTGAGAGCTACGGTAGGGAATGTAATCCTCGGAGGAAAAGCCCCAAAGCACCTTTGTAAGGCCAAAATGGACCTAAAGCCCAGGCGCGCTTTCTCGGGGCTCGGTCTAAGACAAGAAATCAAGGCAGACCGCCAAATGTCGATATACATACTACCTACATGGTAAACCCATAGACGCATGCAGCTGTTCGAGTGCATGGCTTATATACAACCGCTGTTCGACTTCGCGGTGGCTGATATATGGTATCCCAACATTCGGCCAGGACTTAGTCCTTTTTGGCTTTAGTGTGGCGTCTAATATTTATTCTCGTATCAGCGTGATGAATGCCATCTATTCATAAGAGGGTCGATCCGACAGAGTGTGAACAGATCCACGCGAACGCCCAACGGAAGGCACATCCACCATCGCTGCTAGAGGTACTTGATTACTTAATTGTCTATGGTATATTAAATGTTAACAAACGTTCGCTAACGTCTCAGTTGGCTAAGCCGTTGCTCCCCTGAGCGGGAATATGTATCCGTGATTTGATATGCCTGTAGATGCACGACTGCATCTACAGGTACATTCGAAAGTATTTTCTATGTCGCAGCCATAAGCCTACGTGGCCTTCTTCAGCTTCTCAATCTCTTTGTTAAACTTCCCGAACGATCGACGCCCACTCTCCATCAGTCCCAATGCATCCACCCAACTGGGATTAATCACTACAGCCGAAGCAGTAGATCTGTAAGCAGATATGGGAGTCGATCAATAGATCAGCAAGGAATAAGAGAGAACGAAAATGAAACGAGAAAAGTGTGCTATAAGATGTGCACGTGCATGTATTTGCACACACTCATCTACACATTCATAGACAAATAAATACATCGTACCTATAACCATAATTTATACATGAAATCCAAGGCAAGAGTTAAACAAATACAAGTACCTTAAGTCATTCCTGGATTTGATTATCCACTGCAGTTCCCCGGTGTTCATCTTCTGTTTTTCCTCCAGTGTCTTCCTCACTTCAGCCTCAACACCCCTTTGCATGAACTAAGTACGTAAACAAACGAAACTTATAAGGCAAAGGCATGTATAGGTGGGTAGACATGTAGGTGATGACAACGTCCTTGGTTATATAATAGTCTCCGATTGAAGAAATGATGGGCCCGACATAAAACGTATTGCGGCCACTGATATCTTGTAGTACATTGCATACAGAGATAGCAAAAGGGCATATATTCTTTCTGCAGATAACAGCACACGTACACCTTGAGGCGATACCAGCATTAAATACAAAGCACCTGGACAAAACTGATGTTAAATACTATATAATCGTGCCCCAGACTAGCCCATCTGAATGGAAATACGTTCTTAGTTGCGTAGAGAATCGTAATGCGAATGTTCACAAAGCAGCACAGCCGTGAGTTCATAGTGACACAAGCGAATAAAAGTATTCCTCTTTAGACCCAGGCGCAAACAGATCAAATCAGGTTGCACGTGAGAAAAGTAGCATCTCAATAATTGTATTTGATTTCTACGCTTAGATATATTTGCCAATTTCGGACATAGGCAGTTGGTTAAAATTCAAAATATAAATATTATGAATTCTGTAATTTTAGTGGAGGATTCGGATATGAAAGCGACGGTTTCTAAGCTATCCCAGTTGCCCAGATACATTGTACCCTCATGCCACAACATTGTCAAAAAAAGACACTGACGTCTTAGAGATGATCAGCATCCAAAGGTAGACCCAGTCTACGCATCGATTTGATACCGTTCAAATGAATATATATGGATAGACATCTTCAAATAGAAGCAAAAACAAATTGAGTTCATCTCAGTATATATTAATCTATATATGCATACATGTACAAATTGATACACACACAAACCCCACAAATGTACACACACACACACATATATATATATATATATATAACATATACAAACACACACACATATATA